CGGTGTACCACATATTAAAACCAATAAAACAGTTCAATAATAAGTAGGGAACACACCTCGACAATAGGTTCAAATAGCAAATCTACTGATTGCTGGTTTGACCACGCTCTGCTACAGTTTTCGAACGGGTGAATACTGGCACACGTGGTTTAACTGATCTATAAGAGCTGGGTCGAGCTGTCGAACGATCCGGAGAGTCTCTTGTACCTTCAACAATAATATTTATCAGTCCCAAATCCTATTTAATTGTTCAAAGCTAAACTTCTTAAGTATATAAGCATTTTTTGGGTTTGACTATCAATTTGGGGTATTTCGAGTCTGAATTTGGCCAAACGGATTGCGGAATCGGAATCAGGGCGTCGAAAAACATAAAGTATGACTTTCCGAAAATTCAAATTCTTGGTCAAAGTCAAAGTCAACCACTTTGACCATCGATTTGGAGACCTTCGGGTTCGAATTTGACAAAACGGACCACGGAAACGGATTCGGCACGTCGAAAACTATCTGGATAGGTATACTCGGAAAAGATTAACGATCGTTTAATAGTTTGGTCAAAGCCGGTCAAAGTTCTGGTCAAAGGAGATCAACAAACTGTTGAACATTTTACACAAATAGCACCCTTTTCAAAATAATTACCAAAATAGCACCCATTTCGAATTAATTACCCGAAGAGCACAAAAACCGAATTATTTACCAGAATATCACCAAAACCGAATTATTACCAGAATAGCACCAAAACCGAATTATTTACCAGAATAGCACCGGTCAACAATCGGGTCGGGTCAACGGGTCGGGTCAACGGGTCGGGTCGTGACCGGTCAAACCGGTCAAACCCTTAAGAAAACCGGTTGAACCGGTCACTCACTCGCCCAACGGCAGCGCGTGTGGCGCGTGAGGTGTCCTCCGGGGCTCTAAAAATTACGGAAAAATCTCTACAAATTATTTTGAGCGTTTTCGAGATACTTACAAAGCTCGGTTCAAATTTTTGAACATCGGAAAGCTCGAATTCATCAAATCGGAAAGTTTGACCGGTTCACCTCCCCACGCGCCGCCGTCGCGGGAGAAAAAGGGGAACACCGGTGGACTCGGAATGGCACAAGGAACACGATGGTGCGGGAGGTGTCGTAAACGGAGCAACGATCAGCGGTGAATTTAAGATTTTCTTGGCGATAGAGCTAACAAAAAACGTCGCTACTTTGACTGGAAATTCCTGACGTTTGGCCGCGTTTCGCTTCAATTAATTTGAAGGGTTTGTTCCTCGCTCGATGATGAACACAACGGTGGTTTCAAAACAACGATCGGAATTCGGACGGCGTCGGAATCGGGTTTGGAAGTTGTGTGCGTGTGGAAGGATTTGTGAAATTGATTTCTGTTTTTTCAAAACAGAAATCACGCATATATAAAAATTGCCTGCCGACACTCCAAGGTTAAATTCAGGGCTTGGTCTTTGAATTTTCTTTAATTCTAAAACAAGCTCCAAGTTTTAAAATCTTTCAATTTAGTCCTAATTTTCGCCAAATTTTCACAATTAAACCCTCCAATTTCAATTAAATATTATTTTGAAAATCGGGTTGTTACACTACAAGTGAGAATATTTATTAATGTTTAATTCAAACGTAGAAATGAGAATAAAGTAGGGTGAAATAGGACTAGCCTTGTTTGAATGCTCGGGAAAACGACCAGGACACCCGAGTTCCTTTAGAAAAGAAAGCAGAGTCAAAAGTATAGATTCAGACCAGATATTATTAGGGAGTGCGTAAGGCACTTTAAGCTGACTAGCTTGGGCGCAAGGTTCGATACTCAAGGAGTGGGCTATTCGAGAGTATGGTGTCCGATGTAGAGATTTCGGGAGCCACATTCTTGGTAGACTAGAGGGGTGTGTGAGCTCCGAGATGTAGAACCCTCAGCCGTACCATGATGTCTACCATAGAATAGAGAGTGAGTATACAAGTATACTCACTAAAGAAGAACAAAACATACCAATAGACCAGATAACAGTAGACTTGATAGCTTAAGCATTTCAATGACAAAGTTTTAGTTGCTAGTGTGACATTGAGCTAGCTAGCTCAATATTCGGATGTTTTCGTGGGTAGGTTAGTAGATCCAGCAGTTGAGAAGCTTTAAAGAGAACGAGGTCTAGATTAGTGCAGAGCAGAGTACGTCACAAGTTTCTTAATTGACATGTATATTCATGAATTCAGTTGTATTGAGTTTTAAAGTCAGTTAAGAGTTAGTATGTAGGTATCTATATATTTTGAGGGCTCTCAGAAGTAATTTTAAAGTACAAGAAAGTAAGAATAAGTTGGTTAGCCACTTCGGTGGTTCCATGTAGCGCCTTAAATCGGTCGACTGTGTACCGTACTAGTCTAGAGTGTTACAGTAATCATCGCTTCACCACTCGAAAAATGGAAAGTATGCGTCTTGGGTCTCCAACGTTCAATCAGGGCTGAAATAAATGTCAGTTCACCTTAAAACCTAGAAGAAATATGGTTCGATACAACTCGGATTGTTGTAGATATATAATAATCCACTGATGTGGATCTCTCAGTGTCACTCCTCGTTGACGAATGCCTCGTTCTTCTTTTGGAACTAGTTCGACCGAAGAAATATGAACAACATCAAGGTGTAACATTTCATCTCCTGTAGACATTTTTTTCGGGAATTCTTCAAAAAAATATGAACTTTTCTCAATTTTTCTTACAATACATAATAAAAATCATAAATCTCAAACCCCTATTTATAACCCCAAACTCAATGGCTATAAACGACTATATTTTTCAAAAATCCCACCTAATTCGTCACTTTGACGTGACGAGTTTTTCCTTAACCATTAAAATTTGACCGTTGCAACTGCCTGTTGCACAACAACTACAAACGACTAGTTTTTTTTTAAAATTCAAGTGGACTCGTCACTACGAGTTTCCTAGTTTTTTTAAATTTTTTAAAATAATTACTGAATTTTAAAAAGATTAACTTTCGACTTGATGAATCTCTAAAAATATATTATAATATTGTCCCACGTGAGACCCTCAGACCTAGGACCATTAAAAAAATATTTTTTCACCAAACTATATTACAAAATAAATTCGGATATAACCTAGTGTGCCAATTATTTTAGCCGCCTGGGGGAATGGGAAAACATGAGATTTTGCTTAGTGCTCACATGCTATAAATATGTACTCTAGTCGTGAGTGGCAACGTTATCTTTATCTATGCTAAAATTAAACTCTGTACAGTGCGCAGCCATGAAAGGATTGCTGGAAAGAAGCTGGTTTTCACTGGGCAGCATTTATTTACATTGTTGGAGTAAATGAGACGTGCAACATTTTAGAGGAACTTCATTCAGAGAGTATTCTACAAGTAATGTCGTCTTCTCCTGCTTTGCTTCGAGCAGAGCAGTTATAGGATATGTCAACTTCCATTCTTTTCCTTGATTATGAATCCCTACTTTCGTTAAAGAAAAAACATGTTGACATTTAAGCCACTTAGCATTGCGAAATACATAAAATATCAAATTTAAACGCAGTGAGAACGCATTTGTCATGAGCAGTGGCAGTGAATATAAGCCAAAAATGGCAACAGTCTACGAGAGGCCAAACAGCGGACTGTAAATACACATGGGAGGCATTGACAATTAACAAAAGCTGTCCTACAATAATTAACCCACCAAATTGACTAAATAACTGCAATCCCTTTCAACCCCCCCCCCACCACCCCTTTCCTTAATGTCAACGTTATGTCACTGTTCAAAGTTGGTGACAAATCTCGAACATCCAATCACCATCCATTTCTACGTATCATCAATCTTCATATTAACCCCCATCCCCACCCCCACCCCCTAAACTGTCTCCTCTTTCATCGGCAAAACCAACCCCAACTCATCACACAACTCAAACAAGATTTAGATGCACACGAAATTATTTGTTCCTATTTGAACTTGATTCCACATAATCTAATAAGAAAATGAAATTTATTTTATTTTAGATGGGTAAGCAATGTTGTAGGGTATGTTTAGAAAGGTGCCACGAGAACTGCAGACATATGGAGATAGGGGAGGGGGCTAAGGTCCATTTCCCTTAATAAAACGCATGCCCCTAATTTAAAAAAGGCCTTTCCCCTTTTTCTCGTATAATGTATTATTTGCATATTTGAATATGTTATCAACGCTGTACACATGATGTCGCTTCTATGGGGTGAAAGTCTTGTCGGCGCATAAAAGCGATGACAACGTGAGAGGCGGTGGTGGATATTGGCACATGACCGTGCCGTGGTCGGTTCAAATGTGGTGTCGCGGTAACCGTTGAAAGTCTGCTTCTGTTCACATGGTAATTGGATTAATGAATTGTTCATTTTTCAATGGTGTTTTAGACTTGAATTTGAAATTTTCTTCCTTTGATAAAAGATTTGTTTGGTTTTATTAATTGTGTTTTGTCAGAACTTATTATCGTTGTGTTAATGCACATGCTTTAAAGTGGGATCCAAATATTATGATCCTAACCACTCGTTTTTTTTTACTATGCAATTATTTGGTGTTCTTCAATTTGGTCAGCGGGCAACTGCGTAAACCCTGTTTCTTTTACCTGTGAGAAAAGTCGCCTGCGTGCCCTTCAAAGCTGTTAGAACATTTAGCTACACAATATGGGATTTATTTATAACCTCGTCGTTTCTTGAAGAGCTAAACGGTGAGAAAAGATTGTGTGTGTGAAAAGGGAAAGCTGCAGATGAATTTGTTGAATTTTGGGCTCGCTACCAGTCTTTGAACAAATGCCCTTACTGAATCTTTGTGAATAAGCTGAGGATGAAATATTAAGTTAATGTTATCCAACTTTTATAAACTCAAATGTAATAATTTTATTAAATAATTTCCCACTTTTACCGGGGGAAATCGATCAATTCATTCTATTTAAACACAACAGTTATAAAAAGAATTCTTAGTTCTAAACAAGGAAAGAAAGAAAAAATAGCTATTTTTCATTGATTGCTTATATTATGAACAACAATTCCATTTGAACCATTTTTATTACCTACTTCCCTTTTGGTACAACAACGTATTACTTCTTGCCCCCCAACACACACAAACATCTGTTTTTTCTTTCCTATAAACCCAGCAGACCTGAATTCTTTTTAAAAACAAAAATGGAACTTTGTTGTCCATCTCATCTCATGACAGCGTAACTGATTCACCAAGCTTCCCTATTTTCTTCACGAGCTTAGGAGATAATTTCTTGGCGGGTTTCTTTTCCTTCTCCGGTCGGCAGTCAAAAGTTAGAGCATCCGAAACTTCTTCGGAGCTCCATCCAGCCTTCCGGAGCGAATCTGAGAACCGGTCTACTTTTAAAAGAAGCGCATCTAGAACCGCTTGATTATCCAATAAAACTATCTCTTCTTCGAAGAACCCAGAACCCGACACGTGTACTATCTCTGCTATATCGGACTCGCTCCACCCGCCTTCTCTGAGAACCGACCCTATTTGCTCTATGTAATCCTCCACCCATTTCGGAATTTTGGTTTTCGGAATATGGAAATACGTCTCGGTCGAAATATTCGAGGATGAGTTTCTCCGACTCCAATCAACGACCGCCTCGCTCCAGAATTCAACCCATCTAGGGGGCCGAGTACCGGTGAGGAAACCGGCATCCATACTAGTCCGCCTCGAGCCGTTAGTGGACGACCCGGCTGATTTCTCACTAACTGGTGTCTGTTTTTTCAACCATTCTGGGTCGGATAAGGAGCTCCGAAACAAATATTCCATGTCGAAAAAGTTGGATATATCGAATCCGCAACAGAAAATCTGGGTCTCGTCGATGAAGAAAATCGGGTTACCCGCTAAAGATGGGTTACAGGGAATATAGCAGTGATTAAAAATGGGGATCAACAGTGGAGCTCTCTTAAGCGCACTCCTCGCCACCCGTAAAGCCTTTTCCGGGTTGGAAGGTCTTGGTCCCCAAGATTTGGACCACAACGTGTTACGCGCTATGTGAAAGGAAATTGCAGCGATGGGAAGATCAAGCAAAACCCGAAGATGGGATCGGGCTCCATTAGACCGCCAATCGGGGAAACCAGGGCCCACGGGTAACCCGGCTGATAATATGGCTCGGAGGTCAGGTGGGAAACCAAAACCAAACTCGGCTTCCGCTCGAGAGAACTCAGCGTCGGACAAGCCCGGTTGGACTTTGAAACCCGACTCCCGTAAATGACTTATAACTTTATCCGCTAATGAAGAGAAGGACTGAAGACCGTTGCGAACGTGGTGGGAAGCCGCGGTTGAAGGAGCGGAAGCACGAGCAGAGAGACGGCGTAAGCCTGCTATGTGGGCCGGGTTCAGACCGGACATCCTCCGATCTACGTCCACCATTATTGCTTGAATAAGTAACCGGAAGTGGTTCTCCGAATTGCCCTCGAAACGCTGTCTGAAAAAAAGAAAAAGAAAAAAGAGAGTTTTGGGTGTTGGTTTACAGAGGAAAGTGAAGTGAAGAAGGCGAGTGGAGTTAGGGGCTTAATTTTGCTTGGAGAAGACTTTAATGGGTGAAGAACTGATGCTGTATATATTGCTGCTTCAACGTTGGGGCCCACCTTTGAGATTCTGCTACTGTTTTCTTTAACATTATGTTTGAAATTTGAATTTTCAGATTTTTTAATTTTTAGATTTCAGAGAAATAATTAATTTAAAACTCAACAGTGTTAAATATCTGAAAATATAATTTCAAACTTTATTAGTATTAAATAAATTCAGAGCAGTAATTTTAAATTCATAAATATGTAGAGATGGGTTCCGGAGAATAAAGTTTATTTTATTCATAAATATTAAATATATTCAAACTTTATTATTAAAATAAGTATTTAAAAATAAAAAATGTACTTTATTAATAGAATATCTACTATACCTATGTTATATTTCATAAATTTCATACATATATATATATATATATATAAATAATATATTAAAATGAGTAGAGTGTATAAATGTATTCAACATGATTATTAAAACTTATAAAATAGTCACCCAATTATACATATATTTTGAACTCATCTTTTTTTTGGGTTAAAAAACTAACGATGGTATGAACTTGAAATTAACCTATTAACTCAACAAAACATTGTCCTATAGTTGGGAGACCAATTTTTTTCATATCACAATTAACATGTTAACGTACAAACTCAGATGATCATTAATTTTTTTAACAAAAAAATAATGAGTTTGAAAAACACGAATAGTCGGGGATCACTTTGTAATTTTTAACAGTCGAAAGACTCAACAAAATAAAATTCTATAATCAATATATTAATTTATAACTTTTAATAGTCGAGGGACTCAATAAAACAATACTCTATAGTGAGAAGATTTTACCCTATTAAAATTCAAATAATGTTTATATATATAATTATGAGTTCGTCGGATGAAAATGTAGCTAAGAAGGTAAAATGTTATCGTCATTTGCTTGGAAATATCATTATTACCATTATTATAAATCTAACAGTGGGAAATATCATTATTATTCCTATAAATACAATTCAAGCGTTGCGTAAAGCAATAAAAAATGGGCAATTTGAGAGAACCATGTGCATATATAATACGGATCGATTAATTGGTAAAATGTAGTGTTTTAAGAAAAGAAATAAGATTTGATATCCTTAACCATCAATTATTAGCTTTATAAGATTCCTTAATATAAGCCGTTTAATTAAAAAAGGAGGAGAAGAAAGGTTTGGTCTTTTGTTTTGGTTGGGTCGATTTGGGGTCCCTTTAGCAATAATGAATCAGCTTGCCACTCATAATCACACCTTCGTTCTGAGCTAACGTTCACAATCTTTTTGTTTCCTCCCTTAGTAGATGGTAATGAGAATTGAATTATAAGATTTGGGGTTGGTAGATGATCTTCCTTTAACAGGATTGCCATTATGTTCCATTGGGTTGTTGAGGAGTGTTAATCTCGTCCTACACATCCCAAGACTCGATAGCTATATGTAAACCAAATTATCATCCATTTTATTCATTCACAAATCTATAATGTTAAAAACATTCTATGTTTTATGAAATTTATTTCCAAAATTATGAGCTACGTATTTACACCATGGTTCGTTGCATCTAAAAATTATATTAATAACATTTCAATAGCGCCCTTTTGAATCCTTGTTTCGATAAAAAAAATATTATTAAAGGGAAAAATTAAGGATATAAAACTTTTTGTATTTTTGAGAAAAAATAATTCAATTTCAATTTTCTTCATTTAATTAAACCTTTAAAATAAAAATATATAACTTTTTGATCATATTATTTTTAATTTTAATATTTCTAATATATATATATATATATATATATAACCCACACCTCAGCTATATTGTCCCATAAAAATATTTAAATGTTACAGATTTATTCTTAAAATTCTAAAATTGATTGCATATCTATTTCAAAATTCTAAAATATTATGACTTTATTCTAAAATTCTGGATATTACACAATTCTTTTGACAAGATATCTATAATAAAAAAATTCACACTTTTGATCCAAATTTTTAGATATATATTTTTTTTAATCTAATATATCGATCATTTATTTGTAAAAAAAGTTAAAAAAATGATGGGAATCATCACTGTTCCATCCAAATTTTAGATATATATTTTTTTTAATAATTTCTAATAATATGTACACATCATTTATTTTGTAAAACAAAAGTTGTAGGACCTTTTTGAAAAATGATGGGAATTATCATCAATATGTTTAGGTGTAATTGGATTACCAAAATTTGTTTAGATCTATGAAAATCAGAATTGCGTTCAGGTGCACAGTTACATTGATGAATGATTAGCACCCTCACAACGTAAGTAAAACGACACCTACTTGATTACAAATATTTTTGTCTTAACTCATGTATGCAATTAATGTTTTTTTAGATTAATAAGTAATTCTTAAATTCTTAAGGATAATCTCGAGTTCTCTAACGGCTAAGAGAATTGACATTACACTCGAGTACATTAAAAATCCGCATGTTAATATATAAAAATTTCGAAAGTGTAGTTTTTTATGAATAATCTCCCTTGTTTTCCAACGTCTAAGAGAATATTGAGAATTTTGTTACATTCAAGAAAACACATTGACTTTTTAAAATACTATCAAATTTTCTAACTTCTAAGGGAATTTAGAGATATTTCTCAAAGTCCGAAGAGTTGACGATTATGAGATAATTTAAGAAAAATCAAAGATATAATCCTTTGTTAAATGACCTTGAATTCCTCCAACGTCTAGAAGGATATCAAAGGCTTACTTAACTCAAGATGATACCCAGTTTTTAAAATAATGTGACAAAATATCAAACATGCGATATATTATTTAATCTAAATACGAAAGTGCAATCAATTTAAAAGGATTAGTTGATCGTTCTAAAGTTCTAAGTCCTAATGCTCTCTAATCTTAAGATCGAGCAATAAGTTCTCTAATAAAGTCTCTGAAACCTAGATAACTATGGAGCGAATAAAAATATATAAAAATGAAAATCAAATAAGGATCAATTCAAAAGATTTTGATTTTCTCAATTTCTAAAGCATGAAGGATTCTCCTCACATAATCATTATTTTTATTAAAATAAAGATGAAGGAAAATAAATATTATTTGTTTATTATGTTTTGAAAAAAATAAATTCGAGAGATTTCAATTTTCCTAACGTTTAAGATAAGTGGATCCTCTTTGAATACTTATTAGAACAATGAAAAGTAAGGTTTGATTTAATGTTGAACGTGAATAAAATCGAAAGTTCAACTTGCCTAACATCTAAGGTAAAAGAAATTCATGTCAACTTTATTCTTATCCCACATTTAAAATCACCAAAAAAGACACATAAGTAATTTTAACTAATTTTTAAATGTAATAGTGATTTTAAAATATATATTTTATACCAATATATATTTATATACCAACTTTATTTTTATCATATTATATATATATAATTATATTTTGGTATAACAATTTATGACAAAATGTTTTTGGACTTAAATTGAATTTATTCAAAGTTTTCAAAAATAATTCAAAGTCTATTTAACTTGGAATTTAGCACAAATGTTTTTCTGGATAAGAAGTACTAATACTGTAAAAAATATTGATACCTTTGAACAATATCGATACTACTTCACATAGTAGTATCGATACCATAAGCTTAGTATCGATACCATCAGGCCTAACGTCTAGTAACAGTTAGTTTTATTTAAAAATAACAAAGGTAGTACGATACTCATATAGAAGTACTGATACCCTCTGTACTGGGCAGTTTTTTTTTGCATAGAAAAACATCCCCAACGGCTAGAAACGGCCACAAACTCATTTCAACATATAAATACAAGTGAGAGCACTAAAGAAGGGTTAGAACATCTATCCAAGAAATCAAACACAAGATAATATTTTTTCACTCTTATTCATATTCTCTTGTAAATATTTTGTTCTTGTGAGCTTTAAATTTGTAAACACCTTCTTTTTAGAGGTTTTATTGTTTACTTCTTTTCTTTGTAAAGATTTTGGTTCTAGCTTAGTCTGTTAAAAGCTAGGGAGTCTTGTAAAGGTTATCTCTTTATCCTTGAAAAGAAAAAACAAATTATGAATTTTGGAAAATCTTAGGAGGAGCTAAGGTAGTGGGTATACTTGTGAGAAGTCGAACCACTATAACAATTTGGTATCAGATCTTGATTCTTTAGAAGGTTGCACATCCTTGAGACGATCCTTGAAGAAGCTCTACCGATTCCCGACGCAACTGACAAGAAGATGGATTCGACCTCCAGCTCTTACTACATTGAAGACTCTCAACCAATCAATAAGCCACTTTAGTTCAATGGAGAAAATTATGCCTATTAGAAACAAGATGATAATCTTCATTCAAGCCAATGATCTAGGAGCTTGGAACTCAATCATGAAGGGATACTCCATTTCACCCATGAGATGGATGCTTGGAGTGATGGAGAGAAAAGAAGAAGTTCTAACTCAATCCACTTTAGTTCAATGGAGAAAATTATGCCTATTAGAAGACAAGATATATCTTCATTCAAGCCAATGATCTAGGAGCTTGGAACTCAATCATGAGGGATACTCCATTCACACCCATGAGATGGATGCTTGAGTGATGGAGAGAAGAAGAAGAAGTTCTAACTCAATGCTAAGGCTATGCACATTCTATTTTGTGCATTAGGCCTGGATAATATGTAAGAGTCTCCCCTTGTTCCAATTCAAAGGTGATATGGAACAAGCTCCAAGTCACTCATGAAGGAACCGATGAAGTGAGGAAAACCAAGATAAGTCTTATTAACCATAGCTACGAAAATTTCAAGATGAAACCGGACGAAGACATCAAGCTATACGGATAGATTTTTCGTGATTGTTAACGTCTCAAGGGATTTGGATAAGTAATCCCCAATAGAACTTATGAGAAAGATGATTTACTCTCTCCAAAGTCTTGGCAATTGAAGAAGAAGACGATTATCGAAGCTAAAAACCTAAAGCCTCTCACTTTTGATGAGCTTATTGGTTCTCTTCTCACTCATGAGTTGATGGTGAAGGAAT